AATTATTGTTTTTAATTATTTATTATATATACTATTTTATATCTACAATTGTGTAAAATTTCAGTGGAAGCGTTCGTAACAATTCTGATATAGGGGTAGGGATAGACTCCAAATATTAAATTTATAATTAAACAAACCGTCCAAGCAACGGCATTTATAAAAATTTTGCACTGTTGAACGATTATCCATAATTTTGATTATGTAATTATGTAAAAAGTAAAATTTGAATGAATGTAGAAAAAACCTTATGGGAGTTTAATTCGGATAAAAAGTTATATTTAATTCTGCATTTCCCTGTATTTTGATAACCGCGTTCCGAAATTTCGAAATAAATCGTACATGCTTGGCCATCTATACGCAGAAATGAGAAGACAATGGAAACTTAATAGGATGCGCTAGCCATCTATCATAGAGAACGTGAAGGTAATTTCATTTTCTTTATACTACTTGCGACATCTGTTGTACGAACAATATTCAAATTTAAATTTTAAGTTTTTAAATCATACAAGCTTTAAAATTTTAAATTTTTTCGTAATTAATTTTCAACTTAATTAAAATTCGCTTTATAGTGATACTCACTTTTTTAATACAGATAAATAAAACACATTAAGTCGTGTAAGTAAAGAAAAGCTATAAGTATTTACTTTTTTAATAAACCTTGTTATTAAACTTGCAATTCAATTTACTTATTTATTTATTTTAATTTAAGATATAGAATGTAATAATCATTTGTATGTTCTTACCGCATTATTTGTTGCTGTTACTTTTTAAAGAGATACTAAAAATGATTTTAAAGATGATTTTATTGATAAATGCAACTACAAAAACCTACAAATATCTACAGCGACACAATAATTATAATGATGTTGATAATGAATCATTTTGAAATCTCAGGATAAACTCTTCATTACAGTTCTAGTACAAAACAAGGTGTATCTAAATCATTACAATAAATCAAATACTTTTTTCTTTTAAAAAACCATTCGCTTCCGTTTATTTATAATTTTTTATCACAGTCTCATAGGCACAACCCTGAAATTTCACTAAGACTCACAAGAACAATTAACTGGAATGACAACGAATGCGAAGACTAGAGTAGATTGAGCTTATTTTTTTTAAATTCTATTCTTTTTTCTCTTTAAGTAAAAATCACATTGATATAAAACGATTAATTCACTATTAAAATATTAATGAACTTTAAAATATAAGGATCTAATAAGATAATTTCAAACTATCGTTTTGAGTCTAAACTTTATACTAAACGTCTAAATATATTAATGTAATAATTATACAACGTGTCCCATTCAAGACAAATTGATTTACATATCATAGAATTAAATACTTTGTCCATTATGGTACAAATTATTGGAAGAATATGTTAAAAATACTTACACATGTAGACAAACATGCATAAAATAGTGATACATATATACGTATAGTCTATTTGAAGGAGCAATACCCAGTTATAGAATTTATGCAACATAGAGAACTAAGTTTTATAAAGGAATATACACAAAGATATCTCATAGAACAAAACGTTAATGATACGAAAAGTATTTTTTTTAATTATTTCACTATACTTAATATTTATTTAATTAACATCAAAACCAAAACCAGTTTATTTAATATTTAATGTATATGATATCTCCGATGTTATTATATAAAAAAGATTTTCTATAAATCTGATACTAATTAAACTATGGAAGAAATTGTCTTAAATGGACACACTGTATTAATCACTTAAACGCGATTGTAATAAATTACTTTAAGATCATTAACAACAACTACGAATATTAATAATACATAAAATAATAGAAAACCAGTTCTGTGCAAAATACTGCTGTCTACAACGTTCTACAAACTAAACTATTACAAACTGTCTATCAATAAAATTAACAAAAATTTTATGTATTTTTAAATTATTACTATTAATATGAAAAACCACCCTTCTACCAATATATTTAGGGCGTGTGTTAAAAATGTTGTAAATTTTGTACTTAAATGAATTAAAAACAAAAAAGAAAATATCTACACAAGCTCGTCACCAACCTTAACAAAATTGTGGTGTAACAGTTCTAAAGCTGTTGCCCTATCTTTTGGATTATG